CGTCCACGGCCCTCGCAAGGACCTTGTCACCAGGGGACACGGTACCTGGTACCACTGACAGGTGAGAAACGTTTTTCTAGCACGTCCCAGCTGAGAAAAGCTTTGCGACAGAGTAAGTAACAGCGGCTTTCTCTGCACAGCCCCACCGTGCTGCGGTGAGCAAACTGCTGACCCGCCGAACGTGTCACAAACAGAAGACGTCTGATGATCTCGGGTGGCAGGGCTGGCACTGCTCCCTAGGGAGAAGCAGCCCTGTCACCTTGCCCAACGGCTGAAGGCTAGGCTGAAGCTGTTCTTAAGACAAGTCACGTGTTTAAACAGCTATATAGATATTAGAGAATATATTCAAGAAAACGAGCCGTACTTGTCCCTGCTAGCGAGAACAGCACTTTTGAAATCTTCTACCAAACAAGGCCGTTTTCTAAGCTGCTACGATTTTGAAGGCTAACAGAAACCAAGTTTGTTTGCAACCAGATAATTTCTGTGGAATAACGCTGGAAGTGATGTGTCTGCCTTCGTGACGCTTCAGAAATCTAGAACTCTTATTTTGCTTCCTGCTACTAATTGTTGGCTCTGGATGGCTTAAGCAGAGAGGGAAGCCAGAAAAGCCATCTGTTTGGAAAAATGAAAAAGCCCAGTTGTTTTACTCATTTCCTGGGCAAAATGAAGAGCTCAAAGGTTTTCAGTGAGAAAACTGCTTAGACTGCACTAAGCCAGATGTATATAGAGGATTCAAAAGGAATAAATGGAACAGGATTTTCTTAGTTGTATGGCAAATACGAAGAAACCACTTGCCCCTACCAGCAGCTAAGCTGTAAGTTTTCCTGTGAATTCTCCAAATCTCAGGTTTGCTTTTCCAAAGGAACTTACATGATGAATAACAGGATTTATCTATCAATAAAGCCCCCTCCAAGTGTTAGCAGTATTGTAACAAACAAATGCCTACAATACTAACTTGAAAGAAACTTCTTGGCTTAAGTCCTTTTAAGAGTACCTAGGGTATCTATCTCGTGTTAGAAAAGGCCAATCAAAAAGTAAGTTTTGATTCCAAGAAGCAGGATTCTCCCATAATGCACTGGCAGAGCACATCAAGTCGCAGCAGATTTCACAAGAAAAATTCAGGCCCAGGTGGGTGTATTGAACTCCTGCTCCACAAACGCAAACTGCTCCATCCACGCCGTGTATTTTACAGCCCAACAGGTTTCTAACTGTTTGTGCTGCTGTCCCGCCGTCAGCGCGACACACTGCTGGCGCAGCAGATCCTTCCACAAAACCACCCTGCTCTGGGGCGCGCTCTGCCAGAACGCAGGAGCACACAAACGGACGGAAGGCTCCCAACACAAGTCCCTTCAGATGGCACTGCGCGCGGCGCGCCGCTGGAAGGACAGACCTCTGAGAGCACGTTACCATCGAGCCTCCGCAGCCAGGGCCAACGCTCTGCCACGGGGCAGCTCCGGCCAGCGCAGCTCTGCCGGCAGGACCGCAAGCCCTCCCGCCTGGCCGCGTCACTCCCAGGCAGAGCTCAACGGACTAGAACTTCCACAGCGAACACGGTATCGCCGGCGAGAGGAGACAGGTCAACAAAGAGCCCTACACAACGGAGCCCCCACCCAGCCAGCTGCGTGCCGTGGGCTTGCGAGCCATAGCACAACCCCGAGGCAGAGCCGCGGAACGCCAACGTAGGATCTTGCCCACCGCCGGGGACGCGCAGCAGCAACGGGTGTGGATGCTCTCCCGGGAACTCCGATTCGGTAGGGCCGTAGCATCTCGCCACGGGGCGCTCACCCTACGGCCGTTTTGGTCCAGCGGAGACCAGGGGACACCTTAGCCCATGGGCCTGCTGCTCAGCAGCTGATGACGCCAACAGTGTTCAAACAGAATAGGCAGAGCTATCAAAATGGTCCCCAGTTCATCTAGTATGAATTAATAAAAACAGCTTTTGCCTGTTTTCCTCTTACCTTGACACAGCTTTTGAGCAGTGTATGAAGTCTCTGGCTTCCCTAGCAAAGCTGCAGGCCATGACTGAGGGGAAGGCTGACACCCACTACAGCAGTCAGCTGGGCGTTACTTACCCATCTCAAAACAAACCCCAACCTTTGTCGGACGCATTACTCACGATCACTATTCCCACACAGAACCAGAGACAGTTACTGTAGTGCCCCCGAGTCCTCACAGTTCAGTTAAGAGGCTGGAGAAATAGATTGCATGCACTTATCTCTCTCTTTCTCTCCCTATCCCTAGACACAGGACTAATTCAGATCACACTTGCAGAAGCAGTGTAACCTGGACTACGCAAGCTCAACAATGAATGTCCATCACAGAATTGTCATCAGAACCTCCTAATTCCCTCATGTTCCAGTCACAGGAAAGGAAGACACTGTCTTTAAGCCAGTAAAAGTGTAACAGGTTAGCTGTAAAATTATTTGCTTTATTAAGCAGATGGACTACCCCGCTCTCACTTTTGAAGCGCACTGTAAAAGTGCCTTATTTTACTGCTTTACTACTAGCTCTTCCACTCATCTTCCCTCAATCATACCGTCCAGGTACATCACACACTATCTGAAGCACTCTCCTCTATGTTGGGGGTTCAGTTGAACAATTAGCTATACTAGTTGCAAAAAACCTTCAAAACCTTAGAGAAATCAAGCTTTGCGCTGCCAAGTCCCCCATACCCCCACGCAGATTTCTCCAGAAGAGAGGATAAAAGTTACCCGAGCGAAGGGCAGGCTCGAAACAGCTCAAATCTAGATTCCCAGGCCTAAACCAAGGACTCCACTGGATCCTTCCCTTCTTGAAATGACAGCTTCCCTGGCACCCAGACACTGTGCTGCGTTTCCTCAACTGCAAACACACGAACAAAGAATCCAAATAGTCTGGGGAAAGGCCTGTGGAAAAAAACAACTTCCACAGCCCCTTCTCTGCTGCGAATTGGACAGCCCTTCACAGTAAAGGCTTCTCCTTCACCTCCTCTTGCACCGCTGCCTCCAGCATACGCCAGCCATCCATCTGGAGTTCCCCCACGGTCTCTCTTTAAAAGGCTCCTTCCATTCTGCGGCGCCAAATGCCTTGTGGGGCTCTCCAAGGGCTAGAAGCAAGGCAGTCACCCCTCCGGAACCGCTCGTCTTCAACACAAACACATCTACTTCATCTCTGCAAGCTCAGGATTTCTTTTTATTTCATTTTTAAAGCACAACACGCAGTGGTAGCGTGAAGGTGCCTTTTACTGCGGTGACAGAGGCGTTTCACGAACTCTGCTCGTTTCCAGTGTCTCGTTACTGATCTACGTGCATCACAGCGGATTCCCAGACAGCCGGTGGAAAAGCCTGACAAAACTGCTAGAGGATTTCCAGATTTCCCATCTAAATGACCTAAACCCAGCACAAGCCACCACTGCGGAAGCGGTGACAAATACCCCTACTCGTCTGGGAAAAACTGTTCACCATGACCCAGCAGTTATCTCCACGCTGGAAGTCTTGCGCCCTCAGCGTTCTTTGAGGCGAGAGCACAACTTTGTTTTCAACACGGAGCCTTGTGGCTCTTCTCTGAAATAACCTCTCCTCCACTGGTGCTCATCATCATCCAGCATCCAAACTGGGAGCAGCACAGACAGGATTTCGCAACAAGCACAGCACCAAGTGGAGCAGAATAATCACCTCCTGTGCCCAACATCTGACGCTTGCTTACCCGGAACAGGTTTTGTTTCGATATCACTGGATTTTAACTCTTACTCTGACCCGCTATGACACCCGGAACACTTTGTGCAGAACCGCTTCGTTCCCCACACAAGCTGATGTCCCCAACGCTCCATCCACTCTTCTCCTGCAAGTTTTACATCCCCCATTGGATTATTAATAAAAACAGTGAATGAACTGGTAAGCCTGATCACCATACCGTGCTTGAACCGAGAAAATACTTCCCGAGTTTCCAACTGAGGACATCCTGTAGGAAGAATCCTCCCTGAAGCATGCCGACCTAAGCGTTGTTACTCAGCTTCAGTCTGTTAGAGCGCCTTAAGGACAGCTTAAAGGGGATAAAGCCTTGGGGGGTGGGCGGGGGGAAGAGTTAAAGACAGACAGTATAAATCCAGGTTTGGTTTAATAGAAAAAAAAGGGCAGAAGACGGAGGAGTGGGAAGTTAGCACAGCCTTCCGCAGGCCAAGGCCAGCAAGCTGCTATCGACTGTTCACAGGCAAGTCTGCGGCGCTCCTTGTACGTACCCGGGTAACCACAGCACTACTTCAGGAGTTTTTGTACTGATGTAATAAAAGAAGAGCGTTTAAAAAAAAAGGCTTTTTTCCTCCCCCTTCTTCCACAGTTTATTTATTTATTTTTTTAAATTGATCCAGCCTTGAATAATGCTGCTTATTTGGTAACAGTATCAGGCAAAACCAAGAGCGAGTGCCATTCTGCATTCCAACATGAATCATTCAGCAAAGTTCTGCAATATATACATTTTATCCAGCTTCTGACATTATAGGTCACCATGCCAATGAAAATTTTTAACAATACAGTAAGATCCTTCAAATGGAACTGTTTATGAATGTAGCTCAAGAGACCAGACAATTTAATTTCTGAAATTTATATCACTCATGTCCATCATCATTTTACATTTCACACTTCATGCTCTCAAGAGTTACCCTAGAGAAAACTGAATCTTTGTCACATACACTATCAAAGACACTAGCCAGGTTTATAGCGTTACAGAAGACCACAATAAGATGTAAAATTTAGTAGGTAATAAGTTATGACGTTTGCTGGCTAAAACAATATTCAATCTACACTAATGCTTGATCCATTCAAATACAGTAAGTATTTGGATGTTACATACTACCCATTTCATATACTTACAGTGCAAAATAAGTGAGAATTTTTTTCCTGAGCATTTAGGAAATTAAAATCCTTTTTCTTTACCATTGATTGCAATCCATTTAAAATATATTCCCCATGTACCTAGGCTTGTTAAGACTGTACAATCAAGACAGGCAAAAGTTTGTAGACAGGAGAAGCCCAATCAGGAATCAGAAGGGTCATTGAACAGCTCTAAAATTTGTCCCCACTTTTCAAGTCTAAGGATATAACAGGATTTTGACTTATACCAAAAAGTTCAGAAATTACATTTCTTTCCCATTGACCAAACACTCCAAAACGTACAAACCACATGCCTTCCAAAACAGAGAAACGGCCTCTATTTAAACACAGGGTAATACATACTTCACCTTACTGATCTGCAGTTAATGCAATGCCTCCAACAGACGTAACAGAACAAAACTTCTAGGAATGTATTTTGGGCGTTTTGTAAGGAAGCGGGAATCCTTACAAGTTCGTCTTTTTCTCAATAGCTACAGACCATGAGTTTCTAATTCAATCTTCTCCTCTGTTTGCAAGATATCAGGTTCTACTGGAGGAACAGGTGGTCTGAGTATAATCTCTGGACCTCCACCATAGATTGACTGAAGAAAATTCCATGTTTCTTCAGATATTTGTCCAGAATCTGCACCTGAAAACGTTTTTAAAATTTGAATTACTATTTAGAATAATTCTTTCATGATTTCTTTGAAGTCCACAACAGATACAAGAAGAAAAAAATAATTTAGACTCAAATTTAAAACCCTAGGCCGGAATTGTGCTTTATCATGCACCAACCGCGAAACCCAATGACCTATTTTGTGTTAACTTTACACTTCTTGATTCTTACAGCTACCTGCTCTAACTTATCCGGTACTTAACACACCTCAAGCACAAAACACACGAAGGTTCTATGATAAAGACCTCGTCTGGTGTTTACCAACCAAGCTGACAACGGTAGCTCTCGGAACACGGGAAGCAACGGTTCACAGTCGTACAAGGACCCGCAGGCCCAGCAACTACTCAGTAAATTCAAGGACTGAAGCTTCTTCTTTCATTAAAGAAATTAATCTCAGTAGCAAAGAGTGGGGGAACCACAGTGAAGTTCTCAGAACCCAGAGAGAACCCACTATTGGGGTGTAACAGCCCCACGAACGCTCCCCCTACGTAGCACTGATGGGTCAGCCCGATTTCTTTTCGTTCACTGACTGAAGTCTTTGCTTGGGGCTCCATTCCTCTGGCTAGGGTCCCTCTCCTGTCTCAAGTCAGCATCCAACAACATTCCTGATTGCCCATAACCTTTTATAGCGGCAAAGGCCACGGGAGCATCAGCACACTGTCCCTCTAGGCTTTAACACGAGGACCCTGGCTGATAGGGCTGAAGTGATTTCTCCACGCTAACCCAGGCAGAGAGCACAAATTCCAGAATAAACGCCCTCTTCTAAGTAACTCATTAAAAACCTGCCCCACACAGCAAGCTTCCCCTATATCCTTATTAGATACTACTAACCTGCCCAGTTAAGCCTAATTTCAGCACCCTCCTACTTCAAAACCAACCAAACAACAAAAGCAGCGCCATGCCGGGGCACTTGTCCCCCGCCACTCCTCCGTCCTCACCTCCTGCTCCACTGGGCCCACTACTGCGCTCTGTGGACCAGCAGTTTCCCCAGAGGAAGGTGCAAGAGCTGCACGTCTGCCACCTGCACTCGCTCAGCCCTGCAGAGCGGCACCCGGCAGTCCCGACGCAGACCCTGTGCCAGCGCCAGTGACGGATGCCTCAGCGGGACCCGTTGAGGCTCAGGCCCTCAGGCATCAGCTCCCCTCCGCAGGCACAGGAGCAGCTCTGCACGCCCTTACCCAGACCCCAGCTCTCCCAACGGCCAGGCTTCACCGAACGGCCCAGTGAATGGATGCACTGGGGTCAGGACCACCGGGTCACAGACCCACGCAGGACTGTACCGTTTAGGGGCGCTCCCACCTCTTCTCTCATGACTTCAGAGGAGTTTTCCACAGCCTGTTTGTCTCCATTTCTACCCAAGTTCTACTTTGAATCAATGTAGCTGAAAGCAGGTCAGCCACTGGCTAATTTGCTACCAATTACTGATTCCAAAATGATTTTTTTTTTGCTAGACGTCAGTCAGACTCTTTACACCTCGTGTTTGAATCCTACATTAGTGCTTAAATCATTCAAATGTACTGCAAAACTCCTGAGCGCAAGAACTCACTCTTTTCTAAATACACTCTTGACATTTTACAACTGGTGTGGTTTATGCAGGGCCTAATGGCCTCCAGGGAACTGCCACTGGTAGGTCCACTGTATGCTGAGGCATTAACTTAAATTGGGAAAAAAAATCCAGTTAAATAAATGTTAATCTTAGTGCCGCAAATTTTTTTTTCAGCTGAGCTACAAAGAATTTAAACATTCATAGTGAGCCTAAGGTCTTCATAAAGCAGGACATATTAGAATCTTTTTTCCTCTGTATCCACAAATTTCAGATAAATGGTATTAAAGCGTCTGACTGCGAAGAACAACAAAGAAACCTTCATCTCTGCGTGCCAGAGAAGTTTGTCACGTACAGTGGCAAATAACTTGCAGAAAAAGGAGCAACAGCGTTTACTTACCCCGCTTTACTTCCTTCTGTCAGAAGTAGCTCTCGATTCAAATTAGGTTTCAAGATTCCAGTAGCAGTAACGTACAGACACATAACACCGTCCAAGAGCCAAGCACCTCCCAATTTACATTAAGAAAACCCAAATCAAACCAAGAGATGCAAAGCCAAAGCACATTTTTGCTGTTTTAAAGTTACTCTGCATCTCCTTCTGCGCTCTCACATGCACTTGGATTAGTCTACTACAGACACTAACTCTTTAAGGATGAGCTGGTGCCCCCAAAACGGGCACAACAGAGATTCGCTAGGAGTCGCCATTTTGCAGTAACAGTTAAAAAAAAGAATTCATCATAAATTTTCCAAACATCAGCAAACAGATCACCAGGAGCCCCAAGCTGCGGCAGTGCTCGACACCTACCTTGTTTCAGCACAGCATTTCCACACTTTGTTACTGCAATCTTAGCGTTATCAATAGGCCCAGGAGGATCTAGTGCGACAGAAAGACGATTAAAATTGGGGGAGCTGACAACCAACGGCTGGTCGGAGGTTGTACTTTCAAACGGAAGGAGAAACAGCTCGTTTGTTTGCTGCTTGTTCTTGTACTGCTTAGCAGTACGTCCCCAGCTGCTAAAAGCTAATCAGAATTTTAATTAAGAGCAAGTTTTTCAAAGCATTCGTGATTACAGTAAGTCTTCAAGCAACTGTAAAACACAAATTAATCCTAATTCTTACCCCCAGCAAAGCTGTCCCAGAGCAGACCCAGACAGCGCTTCCATTTCAAAACTTCAGAGGCACCTCAAGTAGGCTGAACTGGTGTAGCCACAGTTGTCACCCAGTTATTGATGAGTTAAGGCGGCGACAGCGAGGCTGCCTTTCCTCCAGAAGCTCTAGCATTATCTACAGCACAATCCATCCCCCCTCATACCTAGATCCACTTCCCTGCTGCTGCTGCTCACAGCACCCTCCTGCAAACAAGCAACGTTCTCTCCACAACTCCCCCATCACCCACTCTTGTGAGTCACTTGGCTATATTCTGTCATTTGGTTCCAGAATACACTGGTCACCTATAAAACCTGTGCCTTGGATGTTTGTTCTAAGAGCTTTTGTTGCCTTCCCGCTCTGTTCTTCCTACAGCTTCCACCAAAGCAGAAAGAATTACTCAAGCAGTACCACCGCATCGCAGCAAAACCCGTGTGTGGAACGGAGCGCCACTTACCACTGTCTTTACCCTTTACAAATCCTTCCCATTCTCTGAACCATTGCATACTGATGCAGTAAAATGTTGAGGGAGATTCTTCTTCTTGGAATGCTCTGTTAAGCTGAAAGGAGAAAGAATCCATGTTTTTCTGTTGTTTGTTTTTTGCCTTTAAACTGCTGAATTCTTTTAAGCACTGTACCTATTAGCAGCATAGTATCCACTGCTACAGAGCATTTTAAAGAACTACTGACCGTCAGAACCATAAACACCTGGTGGATTCCCAAGGTGAGATTGTGACGTCATGTAGCCTTCACATTAAGAGATGGTTTATTCTTTACTTGAGAATTTATTTATTTTTTCCTGAAAACAGCAACAAGTTCTTCTTAAGTACAAGTGCTTACCCGTCAAACACCACTGGATAATTCCTGTGAAGGCTGAACCTTCAAGTAGCAACAGAAAGCAGGAAACTTATTTTTGGAAAATAAAATAAAACTGTTTTGAAAGATTGCTCCACAGTTTTCTGGAAGGTTCTTTGTGTGATGAACTGTATCTTTATCTATGTTTGTTCTTCCCCTAATACTTTGAACAGATGCCAGTATGATTCCAAGCAAGGTGAGCTAATGCACTGGGACGTCTCATGGCTTTTCTTTCCTTTGGTTTAAAACACATGAAATATTTTTTGTTCTTACTATTTTTAAATTTTTTTTTTTTTAAAAAAAAAAAAAAGAACATCCTGGTTTTCTGAGTTGCTGTTGCAAGGCAATGTAAGCGACTGTGCAAATCACAAAAACCAGCTAAGTAAAGAGTCCCGGTTGCATTTAACTAAATTTGTTTCTATCCTTGAAAAAACAACTTTTTTTAATAATTAAGATTTTAAGAAGCTTAACATTTTATTCTTTTTCAGAGACTACAGATCTTTTCACAATGTTCTTAAGAAATATGCAAAAAGTCACTTAAACCTTTAAAGCCATTATCCTGTAGCTCTGTAATAATACAGCTCTATTTCCCCCTTGAAGCCATGAGCCTGAAGCACCAACACAGTTCCCCAGGTTTCGGACAGAGTAAGTTTTGCCATCATGCCCTACACCCATCGTTATAGAGGACTACAGAGCTTTCTGTCTGCTAACCAGTAACAATACTTGCACAACAGTGCACATGTAATCGCTGTTGATACTGGAAAGATTTGCTAAAGCAAATGAGGTTGACTCAACGTTAGTAATAATTACTACCCAGTGGTAACCCAGACTAAACACAAACCAGTTCGAAGTGGCAGGTAAAGCATGGGAAAGCTGACACAACCTCTGCTGTGAGATTAAAGCACAGACAGAACGGAAAGAACAGCTGCAATTCTACTTTTCTCCCTCTCATGAATTAAGAGAGCAGCCATGGGACTCCAGTATCTCTGCATTTATTCTCACTGGAAACTTCAAAACACACTTCTGGTTTAAGAATCACAAAATCATTACTACTAGTTATGTTACCATCCAGACTCAAGCACATGATCTCTAACCCGTGGAAAATATAGCAGCTGCTTGACGTCAATTTTACAGATCCATTACAATACTAAGGCATTTACTTCACACAGAATTATTTATGTTTGTTTGTGTCTCTAACGATACTTTTAAAATTAGAACTAGAGATAAAGATTACGATTAACTTTTTGCTGGCGCAGTACTATTGCACTTAAACCGTACCAGACTGCATAGAACAGAGCCCTGGCAGCGTATGAAGAACAACTGCTCACGTGCATGCAATATCATAAAAAAGCAATTTAAGAAACATTAAATATTCTCCAAGTACATTTCCATCCAAATAGTTATCGGGGATATCACAAGGACCTTACTGCTGCCAACAGGAAAGCAGGGATTCTGTATGGGCGTGCAGATCTTTATTGAAGTCCATTTGTTACAGGAATCACCTATGCACTTCTGGTAACCCCTCGGGTCAAGTCACGAATACCAGGTGATGCCAAAGAGCAGAATGAATAAGTGTTTACTTTTTTACCCGAATAAACATTTCCAGCTCATTTTTCCTTCTTTTTTCAATTCTTTCAGACTCTATTTGGCAGGTGTGACAAACGTACAGATGGTTAACAGCCGGTCCTCCTCCATACCTGCAGGGAAAGCAAACACCCATGAACCCCATGGAAAACACCACGGGAAGCGTCAGCTTCTTGTCACGCGCAGCAGCAGCCTGAGACGCGCCCTCACGCCGATCCGCAAACCCCACCGTGTATTTTCCCAGTAACATCTTGTCCCCCGTCCGAAGACATCGCCACCTTCCAAGGCCTGGCCGCCCAAAGCCAGCACAGACCACCCCAACGCTGTGGGATCACGCCCTCCGGCATTGCTACGGGCAGAACGTGTCGGTGAGCAAGCGTGCTCTGACACACGCACCACGTGTGGTTTCACTGCAGGCCTCTAAAAACGCCTGCTGGACACGTTCCAGCCAGCCCAGCTCAGCCTCAAACACACCCCTCCATCCCGCTGCGGGCTCCTCCCCGGTGCGCTCCCTCCCTGATGCCAGCCTCAACCTGTTCATCGTTTTGTTCCTAAACGTTACCCTCCAGGACCCTCCCCCTCCATCCTCTGCTCGTGTGAGATTGCCTTCAGGGAAGTCATCAGGGGCACGGTTACCGAGGGAGAGGTATAGCCAGGGGAGAGAGATGGACACATTTACACAGAGATAGAGAGAGAGATATGTGTGTGTGTGATTACGAACACGGGCAGCGATCGCTAGCCTGGAAACTGCAAGCCTGATAAAGAAAACGTTCTTGAATGACCAGCAGCCTTAAGAGATGAAATCACTACAACAGAAAGGTCGGGTTAAAATACACATCGAGATAAGGATATTTCAGGTTCTACTGCCTACTTGAATAATCATTTTTGTCAGAGCTGTGTTTTCTTCCAATCTTCTTTCTCCTCTAAAAATTCAGATTTTATTCCAAAAAATCTTACATTAAATGAGGTAAAAAGAGAGTGCTCTGAAGTATAGAAACATGAATTCAAGTTTAAAATATGAAAGTTCCTAAGCAAGGGTGAAAAATAACTGTTTACTTAGCGAATAAAATTAAACAAAAGTCTGCCATGGAAGGCGTAACAGTCTGTTGGGTTTTTCCCCCCCTTTTAGATATGTATGTTTGTCAGCCCATAAAAATAATTTGGGATGCCTTTTTTTTTCCCCCACAACTACAGAAGTGTTGTATTTTAACTGCAAATCAAAGCATTATTTCAGCACGACAGCCCTTGTACGTACGAGTTTTTTGGTCTATACTCAATCACCCCAGCTTACAGACATACGTTCCATAAGATGGTCACCTACCACTCAGACGGCACCTCTGCAGATGACCCTTTGTCTTTAGGCTGCACTCATCAGTTCCCAAGTTTTTACCTGATATAGGTCAAGTACGGATTATACTGTATTATCTTGAAGCAACTCTGACCCCAGGGTGCTTCGACTTGAACGGGAGTGGTGCCACGTGAGCAGCAAAATGAAGGTGTTTGGGACCTGGCAACTGGCACCGTACACAAACATCTCCTTAATGCCATCTCCATAAGAGTCAGTCTCCAGCACGTTTGGCTTCCTCGCCCTAAATCCTCACCCGCTGCAGCCACAGTACGCTCCCATAATTCCCAGGTAACAGCAAGACAAAAAGCAAACCATCAGGCAGCCAGTCAGAGCAGACAAGTGTTTAGCAGTGACAATTCCTACCTCTTCTCTACCTAGCAGATTACTCTCAAAATGTGGGGGACCCTAGGATCCCTGGGACTTCTACCTTTCTATCAAATGATTGAAGTTTGACATCTTATTTAAAAAAAATTATAGAGAAGGGAAACTAACGAGAACTTCAAAAACATCTTCCTTCAGATTTAACAAATACTTCTGCATACAGAAAATGGATAATGCCCTGGTCAGCTGGAAGGCACCACCTCTAGGAAAGTGGAAATAAGCTGGAAATAGTATTGTTCCTATTTTTCCACTTGTGTCCATTAAAACGAAACAAACCCAACCCTCTAGCTACAGTGCTTAAGTGGCAGGAAATGAACAGCTAAAAATATTTAATGCAGGTGCAAAGCAGAGTCCGTAAGGTCATCAGCAAAGCCCTCCTGCAGCTTTCTGTTACTTTAAAAGGAGATGCATCTTGTGAGAATCCCTCCTTCACAAGCAAGCACTTAAAGCTGACCTACATTAAAAAGCACGGAGTGGTCCGACGCAACGCTTATGTCTAAGTTGTTTTGAAGCAGTGCTGGCAGCTGAGGCTACGGATTCCAAGCCAGCATAAAGGAGAAGCCGCCTCCAGCCAACAAGAGAGCAGGACGCTGATACAGAGAGCTCTTTCAAAGTACCTCTTGCAAAGCGCGCTTCTGCTGACCTACTTTGTGCCGTTTTGTACACACCAGACACGTTTAGTGGTTTAACACTCCAGTTACGCACCTCTTTATGGAGGTTTTCAGCATCACTTTGCACAAGCAAGCTATATATAAACTGGCCGTTTCCAATCCCTCCACCTAGCTCTGTGGCTAAAGTGTGTGTGCGTGTGTGTGTATATATATATATTTTTAAAAAAAAATTTTTTTTTTTTCCTCCTGTGAGCCACTAATTCTCAAGTCCAGTGTTGCTGCTTGGCACATGTTTGCTTTCAAACAGTATCACTGCATTCTTCCCAGCTACAGTACAGAACTCACCTGCTATACAGGTTGTCCCATATATTTTGAGGTAGCATTACAACTAGGTCCTCGACGAAGTTAGCTTTGTGGGGGGGAACACCTGCAGAAGCAACAGAAGAGAGACTTGCTGATTTTATTGGGGGGTGGAAGGGGGGAGGAGACTATGTTAGAGGTCTCTAAATAAAAACAAAACACCACCTTTCAATAAATTCAGAGAAATCAGGCAAAACAAGTTTTGCCACAGTGTAACTCACCGTATTTAACAAGACCACTCTAATTTTAGCCTTTTATGAGGCTGAAAAGTTTATAAAAAGCAGAAGCAAACTACATGAAAGATTAAAATTGAAGGGCTAGAATCCTTTTCAGATACTGACTGCAAAATGCTTCTTAAGGTACACAACTAAAATGTTACAGAGTGATTAAACCTTTTGTTTATGCATGTCAGCACATTAGCAAACCGTCTATTCAAAAGTCACTTATTTGCTGTAGACCTCCTTCAGTCACTTCAGACAATGTGAATGCTGGAAAGCAGCAAAACCTCGGGGGAGGCAGAAGCAGAGGGGGGCTTGCCGGGTCGGAAGCGCTGAGCTGAAGCACACGGTAAGCAGCACCGTGCTGCGCAGAGACTCCTCCAGCAGGGAGACCTGCTAGTCTGGGCTCCGGCACAGGGCCACCTGCTGCAGCCCTGCGCAAGGAACGCCACAGCCATCGCGGCCACAGGGGCTCAGGCGGCAGCGGGCCATGGGCCACGGAGTCCCAAGGCAAAAGCTCGGCTCAGCAGCAGCGCCTCTCCTTGCTAACCTAATGCAGCTGTACTTTGTTACTAGGAAAGAGGTACAGGAACACCACGTAATAACGAGTTCTTGGGATGCTGGCACTTAAATACGGATAGTTCCCCAAATACCTTTCGCTTAACGCAGTTCTCTTGGGATTATTAACATTTAGCACAAAGTACAATTTCTATGCTCCTACAAAAACCAGACAGAATTACTGCTCTGATTTCACACTGCTATGCACTGGGTACTCTGCATCAGACCAACCCCTTGTTCCACAGCTTTTGAGCCTTCTTGTTGCTTCCAGCATGCAGCTGAGAAGAGGGATTTAAATTGGAAGGATAAAGTATTAAGGACGGCATTAAAGTGACAGGATTTTTAAAAATGGGAATATACATGCTTAGGAAGCAAGGAGGTGAGCCAAACTGCCCCTCTTTAAGAATCCAGAAAGCTTATAAACAAAAATCAAACGTGCAAGTAAAGGAAAAAAAATTTGGAGAGCTTCACACAGTATCATTTCCAACAAAAATGAGAGAAATAGTTTACTTAGGAGTTATAGTTCTAATTTACCTAAGTAGTTACAGAAATTCTAATATCAACTCACTATACTCAAATTCCTTTTAATTAAAACAAGTGCACATCCGTGTAGAGCCAACAGACAAATTCTTTTTAAATGATACCTCGGTTACAGCCTCACCTCCATGCACACAGAGAAAGTCATTATTTGAAATTGGTCCTGGCTCTGCAAAAGTCTTGAATTTATTTAACCACTGCCTGGAAACATAGAACTGCAGAAGACTTGGTTCCATCATATTCAGCAGACCCGATATCCTCCGCCTCTCTCGCTGTGCTTCTTCGCTGCTCTTCCTAAGGCCGAAATAGAAACCGTTGAACAAACATCACTCCTGTGTGCGGTGCAGACCATTTGCTTTGCGGGAAATCAACTGTACTTTCACGTGAATCGCCCAGGCCGTGCCCACACTTCACAGCTCTACGAGCTTGCAGTGGCTGACTGCATGGGAAAACACCCGCCCCTCTTAGGGACAGCCAGAGCCACCACTTCGGTGTGCGGCAGGACCCCGGGCCGTCCTGCAGACCCGTGTGTCACAGGGGCCAGCCAAGGCCCCTCACCCTCAGTGCCGACACGCCGCGTTACCACGCTCACGAGAACACGCTCGCCTGCTCAGCCCACAACTCTGAGACCCCTGAAGTCCCCATTCAACTACTGAGAAAGCCAAGAGCGGGGCTGCAACCGAGCCAGGCGGCTCCCCCGCCGAGGGACGACGGCCACGGGAGGAGGAGATGAGGCTCTGCCCACCTGCCCACCTCCTCTGCGCACCTCCTGAGCTAAAGCTTCGCAAGCCAGGCGCTGGGGGCCGGGGCGCCTCGCGGGCCGGGGCGCCTCGCGGGCCTTCCGAAGTCAGGCTGAGCAGCGAGCAGGCTGGGCAATGCCCCTGCTCTTCCTGCATCCCCTACTCTTCTCGGTGAGGCTGTTGCTGCTGGCCTGCTGGAAGTATCTCTGCTCTCCTGGTTTTAGACTGAATAGAACCTCTCTTCTCCAAAAGCAGGTCTGAACCATCCATTGCATCCTCCAAAAGACCTGAAACTTGACTCGGCACCACACAACAGCTGGGCCACCTCAGTTAATTTACGGAGTCAAAGTTGACTCAAATAGCTTATAGAAAAGCTTCAGACAGACCTCATGGCTACAGCAACAAGGCTACTGACAGTACAGCAAAACAAGTCTAAAAGAAAAAACCAATACTATGAGCCCAATTAAAACACATCACCTGTTTAAATTCAGTTCAAAGCTATTTAACAAAAATCTTAAGTCTGAAAATGAAATCCAAGTAGGTAAGTTCACTTTCCAGCCGTAATTTAAAAATGCATATGTAGCTCCACTAAGCTTTCTAAAATGCGCTGAAAGAACACCTGTTGTGCGTGTGGTAGTATTTTCTGGGTATATTCTTCTCTAAAAACCCAAATTCTATGAATGCTATTCTTCTATTACGTATTTTAATATGCTTGCAGACAATCAGGTACAGTGCTCTTTCTTTACAATACAGCACAACTTCCACATTCCTTTTAAAAGACCTACTGAGTCAGACTCACAGGCTTAGCTCAAGCAGTGGCAGGTACAAGAGCTCCTAATGAAAGTTAAAACATTCCCAGAACACATTTAATTTCTTGTGCAACTCTGACACAATCTATTTAGTGGAAACTTGATCTTAGTACCAGAAATCTAGAATTTGTTAAATTGCTTTTATTATTCCAAGTACAAAAATTCCTTAGACTGAAGATGATAACATGACTTCTCACCTTTTGTTTCAACTTTCAGGAAAAGACCAGCCTATAAATTCCCTGACATTACATTACAATGCAGTAAACCCCTGTTGTTCCACATCCCATCTGCTAAAGACTTTCCACAGTTCCCTTCAGAGCTCTAACAGTTAAGAGTCTGTGCGCAAAACCTCCCCGTGCGCAGAATTCCTTTCCTCTAATTGAGAACGAGGTAATTGGTGGCTAGTGCTAACAGATGCTCGAAGTTCTCTCGCTAGTCATCTTAGGACACTTTATTTATGTGGATTTCATTTTCATTTTAGGTTCCATACATGTTTTACCAGTGACAGAGCAAGTGTTAAGGACACGACTGAAGGATGAAGTCTCTCTCCAGCACAGGCTTTTCTGGTTGGTCGAATTCTCCCACTGTAACTCTTGTGGGGCAGCTCATTTCTGAAAGCTGCCCAACTGCTTAAAAAGTTATTTACATACCGGACTTAGGCGAGTACGACCGTACTTTTAATTTCTTACCTGTAGAAGAGAACATAGGCTTCTGCATTTTGCACTGTGGATTCCGATACTTCTGTGACACTCTGGTCATCAAATTCATACCACAAATTATTTAAATTGTTCCGGCAGTAAGCTATATAATGTCCACCTACAGTGTCAGAAGCAAGAGTTATTAAAAAGTGTCCAGAGATGCCCATTTTACTCTGCAATACATGAAAAGGAAGCAAGTCCAAAAACCCCAAGTTTTAAATAAGAAAAACATTAAATCATTAGCAGACACGACCTGGATATTAACCTCTCTCAAACTCAGGATCAGATTTTTTTTGGTCTGAATTTCTATCAGCTGGTGGGCAGCTGGACAATGCTCTCAGCATTCTCGAGCTCTTCAAGCAGCTTCTTGTCTAATGCACTCCTGAACCACGTCGTTCAAACCAGACTAAGACTGCCTGAACAAGTTACCCCGATCAGTGTCCACAATGAGCTCTTTTCAACTCTTATTATGCCTTATAACACAAATCAGCATAAATGTGTAACGTCTACATATCAAGACCAGACTTCACTGTATTTTGAAGACTATTCATAATATATTTTAAATTATTACTATTTTAAAATACATATTCAACTTCAACAATTAAATCATCAGATATCTACTAAACTGATTAGAAGCATCACCATTCAGCAGGCACTAAAAGGAAGATGAAAAAGTACCCAGAAAAAACACAAGTGACATCTACACAATGGATACCTGAGGTTCGGGGGGTATGAGGGGGTGGGTGGGTAACTTCTGTAAAAATCTATGAAGTTTCCAGCTTCAAACTTTTCTTTCTCCTATTTTCCAAATCTTGCAAATACCGAAAGCACATATGCAGAAACAAGCCTGACTTATAGCAATAAGATGTTTATTCACAAAGAGCAATTGCTGCCTGTTTTGGGGTGAATTGGTAGTGAACATCTTTTAAAAAAATTACTGGCATCTTTGTGGTGCTTTCTGACCTCTTTCAAAAAAGGTAAAGCGCACAAAGCATCAGAACTCTAGACAAACAGCAGCTGTGTAGAACAGCTGATCAGCTGGTCATCTGCTGGAACAGATGTACATTTGTACATTTACACTGTTCACTTTCAATAGTGCCTTTTTTTTTTTTAACTTTATATTCCAGGATCTGTTAATGTTTTCCCACCCACCATTCTGTTTAGGTATGCCATACCACCTCAAAGATGTGTCAGCTCTAAGAGCAAGCCATCTTACTTCTGGTTCAAGGCAAAAGACACAGCGTTTATCTTTCACATTATAGTTACCCATGCTCATCTGTTTACCCTTCAGGATACAGATATCATCCTTAAACAGAAGTGCTGAGGGCAACATCAACCGCAAAGACAAAACAATCGACCTCATACTTACTGCTGGCAGTGCCGTGGTGGCAGATGACTGACAAGAGATCGTAAGTCACTATCTGAGCTGGGCTGTCCTTCGCAAGGAAAGGCTGAAGATCCAGGCCTTCCAGGGGAAAGGACACATGGGTCCCAATTTTTGTGGAAAACATAAGTTCATGTCTAAATCTTTTGAGATGAATGCACAATATCTGTAAGAAGGATGGACAGGTTCCCTCAAGAACTCGGTATTTAAGAACTACACTGTGCATGCCATCTTTTTCTTTCATCATCCCAAAAGGATCCCTTTTCTCTAAGGCCTGAGGCAACTAACACAAGCTCTGTATTCCACAGATTTATTTATTTATTTTTTTAAATCAATTGCAGCTCAAGGAGTTAGAAATGAATTTGTAATTAATTATTGAAAGCTGATCTTACTGACAGTATTAAAAAACCCCAGTCCTGAACAGTTACTAACACTGACGCAGCAATGAACAATGTACCTTTTCTCTTCCTCAATGCTCCTATTGCACCATCTTGTCACGAGAGACATTAAATTCTTCCTGATTATCGCAGCCATCAACTCATGTTTTTAAGTGTAAGACCGGATGACCCAAAATGAAGTTACAAGCACTAATTACAGAAAAGATTTCCAGCCTGGCTGTGGTACGTAAGCCTATGATCTACAGGGCAAGTTAGCTCTGCAGGCTGGCAGTAACAACATTCTTCTAACTTTACTTTTCATGTACAAGCTTCACTTTCTTACAGAGTGAATAACCAAACGTTGCTCACCTTATTAAAACAAATGCCAATATAAAGATACACTTTCACCTATAGCATAAACACAGTTCACTCCACGCAACTCATTAGTCTCACCACACCCCCTAACCATGCACAAAAAGGACTTTAAAGTGCGTGTAGTAACAGTACCTCAGGAAATTTTTGCACTTTGCAGAATTTCACTCCGTTTCTTAACCTAAGCAAAGAAAACAAAACAAAACAACCAATACTTAGTTCTGAAAAGGTTTTATTTTATTGTGCTAGATCAGCAAAAGTCTAAGCTGAACACTAGCTTAGTAGACCCAAAATATTTCTGGAATGTAGCCTAGACATGGAGTAGCCAAAATGATACAAACAATGACGCTTCAGAAGAAGAGACAATCTGTACTGCCACCGAATTCAAAGCAGCAATGATAATGAAGCAAACAGTTTCTCTTAGCACAAATGAAAGAACTTTAAGCTTCATGAAAGCTGATCATCCAGCAAAAGAAAAAAGAAATCAACTAAAGTTTATTTTTAAGAAATCACCTACAGCAGATCAACAGTTACATCACAAGGAGTAACACTCCTTGTCCATCAAGGGCTTTGAGCAGGCTTCAGGCTGCCTCTGCTTCTTGGTTCTTTATTATTTAAAGCCATAGTGAACTTACTTAACACACTGAAGTGACCTACTGCCTATCAACGAAAACCTGCTAATAAGAGAGCACTAAAAGCTTTTATTTTATCAATCAAAACCAATTTAGAACGGTCTAAAATTGTAAGGACCATGAAAAAGAATTAATGGTTTGCAGTATGGTACGGTGAGTCAGTGCTTCCCAACTCTGCACCTTTGCAATACTAAGTTTCTGAAGCCAGAACACAGGGTAGTATCAAGAGATTAACATTACGGTGACACAGCCAACAGAAATAATAAGGGGCATTAAAGCACTCAAATTAAGACAGGTTAAAACAAAGATAAAAGCCAGCTTACTTTTTACACCTTCCACAGCTGTACATGTTATCACCTGCAAGTACCAAGGAGAAGAAAAACAGCCATTATTGTCTAAATCCAAGCAGTTATCCTTCAAGTGCATGCATTTCACATGTGAAAGTTTCAAGGGAATTTATCTTCAGGTTGCGTTTGATATTCAACAGTCACAAGAATATTGATATAGCAACTAAATAGAAAGGTTCTTAGGTTCTATGCTTTCAACTACAAAGCAGTACAGCATAATTTGAAGAGATGATGCTATAATTTAAAACAGAAATAATATTCTAAATCCAAATTAAGATTATGAGAATGAATTTTAATAGAGTGGGTTCTGAAAGTTTTATGAGCCTCCAGTTTATACCAACCATTTCATTAGACCAAATTCAGATTTACTTGACATTTCTAAAGCAGCTTTCACGGGCATTTCTTGCCTCAAATACTCAGCTGAGTGAAAGGCTTACCTTTTTGAAATGAACGATCCCACAAGAGCAAGGAAGGGCTGTACTACAAGCTAACAGGTGGCCTTTGCTTAATTGCATGAAGCTAAAAGATATTATCATCTTATTGGGACAGGAGGAAAAAAAGCCAGAAGAAACATGTTCATGTAATTAACCTCTTACCCTTGAGCTCATCTCTGGCGAAAAAGGCAGCAAGACAGTCTTGTAAGGTTACAACTGGACCCCAAAACCAGCTAGGAACACATGAGACAACAAACCTGAAACATCATTGACAGAAAAGAAAGAAAACCAACAAATGTTCTGCCAGAAGAGCAGAAACTGGAATTTCAAAATAGATACAGGAATAGAACAAAGTCAATATTACTTACCTTTTGAAATATTCCATGAAAAAAGCTATCCACCCCTGGGGGGCATACGCTTCTCCACACGACCCTGCCTTGACCAGAGCTGTCTGATGACTTGCAGAATGGAGTTTAGCAAGATCTTCCTTACCCGGAATAGGCAAGGACAGATCCTGAAAGGTCTCCAGGGTTACAGACAGCTGAAGAAGAAAACAAATGAAAGAAAATATAGGTGAGCTTGAAGAGAAACAGCAATGAAATTGAATTCTGTAAATTTCACCAGTAACTAAGTCACTGCATAGCTGAAAATTCCACTAGGTAGCAAACTACTTATAAATAAGGAGATACAAGAATTCATTCTCTGAAAAGAGAAACAATAAAATTTTAGAGTGAACTTGTACATTGTTATCACTGAAACTTTTGTTTTTTAAGTCGTTGTTAATTATTTGTCTTCCAACCAGTCAGACGAAGCACCACGATCTTTGCCTCGGGCTCCTGTCACATAAGCTCGCTTCGGAAAGCTCCAGCCCTCTGTTTTGACAGTCTGTGACATTATCTTGCCCTAAGGTAACTGGACCCCGTCCAAAGGAGACCCAGCTGTGCCTTTTCTTTCTCCCATGCTGAACTTAGTGATCCCATAGTCACAGAGTAAAACTCGAAGCAAACTTTAAAAATTCGTATTTGTCTTTTTGAACCTGCTCGCCAAATTACCCCGAGGTTTTTTCAGAGCAATGGTATCAAATACTGGAAATCCAAATCTTTGCACTGGGGACACATTTCTCAGCATAAGGTTTAAACTTCGCCCTGACCCAGCTGCACGCCCTTACTGCTTCCCTTGGTTGAGACCTCATACCACCAAGGCCGCTGTCTGTCACTTTTCTTCGTAACGTTACGGACCTGAGGACTTGCAACAGCAGCTGGTATGCATTAGGGCATTCAGAACGTCACCAAAACTAATCACACCCAAGTGAAGTTGAAGAGCAAGCCTCTTCCTCCATCCTTGCTGGAAACCAATACTCAAAATGTGATTTTTCAGCTTGAGTAAATCTCCTGCTAGTCTATGCTGGTCTGAATGCAGGCTAGTCTAAACACAAAGGGCTGGGAGTAGCTGCTATTACTCTTTGAGTAAAGCAGCAGGAAACAACCTCACCTTCTGAGGAAACCTGCCACGAAGGAGTAAAGTTACCAGAGAACGACTGTATTTGTAAAGCTGCAAGTATTTGTATCGGGGGAAAAAAACCCAACCCATATTAAAAGCTACAGCTTCCCCTCCTTACTCACCCGATCACAAGTTAAGCACTGTACTGAGCTTATTATAGTCCCATCAAATATATCAGAGATCACGCTCCTGTACTTCTTGCGCTTCTTCCTTTTTGGTGATGATACAGTTGAAACTGTAAAATGACGAAAATAAAATGCTGAAAGTGAATCAAGATACAGTGGATACTGATTTCCTTCAACTTTGCATAATATAGTTAGAGATCACACATATTTAGGATTAAATTACGAGCCAAGCCCTGTTTTCTATTTACTAAGTATTTCTTGAGAATTACACAACCAGATTACTGCTAGTACCAGGCAATTCATGTAGGTTCCTCAGGCAGTTTATTGGGGACAAACACCAGAAAATTTTGCCTCTGTTTACGTAAAACTCAAACTGCCAGTCTTGAAATCTACAGCCTACTGCTACGAGATTGACCTTGGCAGGAACCCCCCCGGGTATAAGCTTCAAAAGGCACATTCTATCCAACATTTAATTTGACCCCATCTTTCCAGGGAGTTTTAACCAGGCTGGGCTGAAGCGCTTACTGTGTCACAAGGCTGATGACAATGGGCTGATATAGACTAAATGTACTATGAGGGTCCAGCTTAACAGCAGCTTATAAAAAAATAAAAAAATAAAGCCAATAACATGCGCTGCCCACCCAAATCCACTACCTATTAGGTAAACACACCAGAGCCGTCTCTTGGGCTCAACAGTCTACTGGAACGGTAGGCTAAAATGAAGACCACAAAACCTCTTCTGGAGTCAGTACATTACCAAAGAAACGACTCAAAAGTCTTGTAGGAGTCAAAGGTAAAGTGCCAAAACGCTGACAGCCAGTAAGAAGATAGGCAGTGAAACGTGGAAATAATTACAGTGAGAAGGAAACTGAATGACTCCAGTAAATCTTTCACATACAACACAACCTCCCAAGGCTCCTTTGTACATAAAGGGTTTGCCCATAAGCAAGTACTTGTCTCTTCGCTGTCCAGCAGCATTGCATATTGTCTCTGTATCATCCCATCCCTAGAAAGATGTCTACAATAATAAAAAAGTCTGAATTCAAAAGTATCTCCGGCAGAAAGAACGGCTGCTAGAAGTAATCTAAAACCCCCTTTTTCACAACGCATCAGATAAATAAAATACATCATGGACACAAACTGCCTCAAAGAGCCTGTTGCCCAGAATTGTCTAAAGTTCCTTTCAGTCGCTTATTTTGTCACTAAACTGCTTTAAGATGGTTCTAAAGTGTTTAATCAGCAGTGGTGGGGAGGATGTGCTGTACTTATCCACACTAACACACTGCAGGAAGAAACAAAGGCACAAGCAGGGGCATCTCAGAATTGTGGCACCAAAACTGGAGACAGCAGTACAGACACAGTGCCAAGACTGCTGAACAAATGAGCCAAGAGGTCAATGATTTGAGTCCATTATCATATGGTTTAAGTCCATTAAATCATTGTCATTCAACATCAATGCCGAAGCACCAAAAGCATAACATGAACATTCTCAGAACTCATGCTGGACAGCCTGTTGAATGAAAGAGGATCACGATACTAAAGTTGTGGGAGTTTTTTGCTTTGATCTGGTTTAATGCCTTAAAAAGCACATTCCAGAAGACAAGCTTTAATAAAAGTAGTCTACTGTTAGACAAATAAGGGCAAAAAAAAAATTATATATTGTTCCCTGTGCCCCAAAGCCGCACTGTCTTGCATCTAAAGGCAGTAAGTTTAAACATTCTGGATGCTGATAAACGCATCATACTGCGGGAAGGGCCAAAGGAAGTGCTCCGCACCGCAGTCAGCAACCATCAGGAGGCAGCTAGTGTCTACAGCATCGGTACATGGCTCCCTAAACCTCAGCAGACTAGAACACGGACTGACCCAACTTCTGCTGAAGACCCAGTGTGCTCGTTCTCTGAAAAGCTTTACCTTCCTGGGAGTACTAACTTCTCACACGCCTTCCCTCTCTCCAAACCACTGCGACTGGGAAAGTTGTCTAAAAACATTCTTCCATCCTCCCAAAGCAGAGGCAAACACGACTCACGCACCAAAAGAGTCAGAACTTTAAGAGAAGTAACGGGAATGTTATCATATGCCCAGCTCACCCTCTCCCCACCAGTGCCAGCGGATGAAACCCCCTGAAGAACAAGGCCGCGCTGCTCCGCAAGGCACAGACACAACCAACGAAAACCGTAGTACAGAGCAATGCGGTACTGGGGGCAGAAAATAAAGGGCCTGTACCTTTTTTGTGGACTGGTGCCAGCGAAGAGCACGATGAGAACGATTTTGGAGGACTGTTTGACAAGCGCATGGTTGTCCCTTCATTTGATGAGGGGGTTTGGGCTGCAGATATATCATTCATGTGGACATCACTGATGCACTCTGCAATTAATATTTGCATTAGTTCATTAGCTCTACCAAAAAATGTACTGCAGAATGAACAGACACGATGGTCATGTCATTCACCTGACCACAGCGTCAGGTCGCTGGACATTTTGGAATGAAGCACCATTCCAACTCACGTACCCAAGAACAAAACCAAAAACCTCCACTCTTCTGGGTTATCTGAAACCTCAACCCAGTAAAAATCTTTAGCTTTTCAAGGGAATTTAAATTGAATGCAGAACACCTAAACTGAAGAAATACATTAAGAAGGTGCATTGTTTACAAGTAAATCCAGCTATCCTACTTGACCCACACCTCTCTGCTGTATTCTACAACTCACTTCCACTCACACAGACATTCTGGCTCAGAATTTGACTATTTCAATTGCACATTAGCAGTGTCTTACCTGAGAATCTGCTATGTATCTGCACTTTGACAGTTCCTTGATTATTTAAAAATTCAGTGGTCTCTGAAGCAGTGTTCGTGTCTTTTTCCAAGTCTTCCACAGAATTTGCTCGTTTAAGCTTGTTGCTTGGTATTTTTTCTTTCTGCCAGTCTTTAGAGGCAATTGAATTATCATCATCCTGAATTAACATGGCTGTCTCTGCAGGATCCTCTAAGACAGGTTTGAAAACAGCATCATTCTCCGTTTTATCACAGGTACCACAGGATTCGCAGGGCTGAAAGCCTACATCTGAGTGGCTCTTGTCTTCCTCCATATTCTCTTCAACACTCATAGGCTGGGCATCTTCCAGTTCTACAACTGGTTCTTTAAGTTCTTCATGAAGCAAATCCATTAAGCAACGCAAAAATTCTTGAGCATCCTAAGATTTTAAACAAGTTTTACAGTATTATTCCTTCCTATTCGCAAGCTATTAAAGTCATACCAGGAAACCATACAGGTAACTAAAATGAAAGCTACAGCTGGCTGTTAAAGAATAAGGTAAAATTCCTCTGATCCAGGGCTAATGTTCAAAATAAATTTCATTTCCAGGCCACATATTTGTTTCCTGCATCCATTTCCTGCATGTAATCTCGTCATACAAGTTTCCTCCAACAACACTTCCAATTCCCAAAAAGCTTATTTCAACGACTAAGAAAAATACTGCCACAGCTCACACGGATGACAAACGTAACTCAAGGAACTACCAACGACGTGGCCAGATTCCAGCTTTGCTGGTAATGGGACGTTTTAGGGACAGGTTTTTTAAAACCGTATGCGGCATCTTCTGCAAAGGAACCAGCGCCTCGCTTTCACTGGGCATGGAAGTGCTTTGTTAACAAGCATTACGATGTACCTAGCCCTCCTTTCCAACTGCATCATACTGTCAAACGAGATTTTACTACTTCTTCTCAAGCCTGGACCAGAGCCCTCAGCTATCAGTGTTTCCACAAAGAGCTGTCGATATCACTGTGAGTCTAATTTGTGTTTGGAAATATCTTAAAAGCCACCAAAGCTCAATAACCCACGCAGCAGCTTGGTTCCTGGCAATAGAGACTATCTCCCAGAGCAAGCATGGGAAAAAACAATAGCCTCTTCTTGGCAACTACTGCTGCTTCTATTGTCTTCTGTTTTCCTTTTTGTACTTTGGTTGTTCATAATAATAATTTTTGCTGCTCAACATTCCCATCCATCATAGCACTTGCTTATTAAGCTCACAACTGCTGACTAGAAAACATTCTTTTTCTTAAAAACTACAACTACCAGATTTGAGTTTGGGTAATGAAAAAAACTGAGTATGCCTATTTGCTGGTAATCCTTTTTTTTTTTGTACAAGACTCAAACCTTGAGACACAGATGAACTGCGAAAGAATTCCTTTTTCTCCCTGAAGACTGGACGTGGCTGCCCAACCTGCAAGGCTGGGCAGCAGGAGACGGCTGGACATGAAAGACCTGCTCTGTTTTAACTGCTGCTGTGAAACCTGCTAAACATACAGCTGGAGCGTGATCCCGGCAGAAAGGTTCTCATTAAGTCTTGTTCTGCATGGGAACAGGCGTTCTCATCAGCGTTCAGAGTTGCGAGAACCAAGTTCCACAGTGTCTTCTCGGTTATCAAGACTGATTTTCTACTTCTCCAGAAATTCATGTGGCTCTTAAGAAATTCAGGACTACATTAAAAACCATGGAGATGACTTTAAACGCTCACTTTACAGCTACATGCAACATTTGAACATTAAAACCTGTGTTCTAATCCTGCACTCCACAAATATGAAATATGCTGAAACAGCAAAATTCCTTTGAACAACAGCAGATTCCTGGAAGATTTTCTCGAGCTTTTCTAACTTCAGGGGTTAATTTCTCCCTCTAGCCCAAAAGCTCTTAATAAAGTACTGCAAACCGTGTGAATGCAGCAACACAGGGTACGAAGGCCCAACTGAAGAACGCCTCTGTTGTACAATAATCCACTCCTATTTAACCAGTTTCCAACTTACAGTTCCCACAACACTGTTACAAAACACACAGCGCTGCAGTTTTTTTTCAAAGCTACCAAACAAAAATTAGATACTGTGTATTTAATTTTTTAAAAAGGTAACTGGTAGATGAATATTAAAAAAATCTGTTATTTTTTATTTTTTAACATCTTTATTTTGTATTCTGGGACTGCTCAAATATTAGCAGCATTATTTCACAGAAGGGAGAAGTTTTACATACGTATTATTTTCATTTTCCTGAAAAAAGGGAAAAGAAGTTATTCCGAGAAGTTGAAGGCCTTTCAAGAATTTGATATAAACAAACATAAAACCTGACTTGACTGTTGATGGTTCTGTTTCAGACTGTCTACATTTGAAGGATAAAAACTAAAGTTTATGTTGCATTTGCTTTAGACAAATATAGGAAGCACGGAATCTGAAGCATTAGATTTAAAACCAAGAGATAACTTTATGGCTTAGGCAGATTTAAAAGACATCAGAAAGTTTTACCTGTTGAGAGTAGCCTCGAAACGTTGGATTAACAGTTTTAATTCCTTGAAATAAACCAGTAGGAACAACAGAACCAGGCCTGAATTAAAAAAAGTTTTAAACACATAAATATACATAAACGAGGAAACACTTAAATGGAATTGTCTATCTTTACTGGGATCATCATTTTACCTGCAACTGAACTCTAACACATCTAACACCAATAGTATTAACCTTAACCAAACATAATGTTGGTATGGAATTATTAACTATATCTTTTATTTTTTTTTAAAATCTGTCACCCAACACAAATAGAGACTATATCGGGCCTTTCAGGCCACATTTGTCAGAGAATCAGATGACATACCAGACATACTCAGCACTACGCACAATTACTGTTTCTTTACCTTCCTACTTGTATTTTGAAGTATTTTCTTAGACAGAGATAACAGAAATTCCATATAAAGAAATAAGAGAAATTGATAAAACATCGATATAGAATGAGGGGCACAGAGAGGATCAGTAATTAAACATTTTGGATGTATTTCTGGCAGCTATAAACTTCATTGTAAAAGCTTAATGCTACTTTGTACAGTGTTTATCATCTATTTCTTGACAGATCTTCCTTACTACAACTTACATCAATTATTTGTCCTATCTTTGGCAGATATGGAAAAGAATAGGTCACAAGGAGCGTTTAAATCCTGCAAGCTCCTCTTTCCTTCCTTGATTTATAAGACTAATTCTGCGATACGCACAAAACAGAAGTTAGAAACCCAGGACAGATTAATGCATCCTTCACGACTCCGGAGTTTATTTATAACCAATTCAAGGCCAAAATTCGATCACCGAACGCAATACCTGCTTTTGTGCCAGAGTTCCGTCATCAGCTTGAGGTAACTTTTACAAATTGCCGTTTTCTTCTCTGTTCGCGCCAAGCCTCCACAGTCAAGAAAAAAATGTGTCAAAGGTGGGCTGATTAAAAAGAAGAAAATAGTATTTTTTTCAGGTTGGTACAATACAAGAGGAAACCCGCATTTCATCCAAGCTGACTAAAAAAAGAGTAATACTATTATGTAATTGAACAATTCCATTTCCTACATCCTTAGATGCTGCAACCAAACATTTCCTAGTAGGACAGCTTCAGCATCCCAGCATCCCCGCTCCTCCAACGAATTCTGACATTTGTTAAAGCAGCAGGATTGTCTAATGGGACTCAAGTTCGAGGCAATTCCTACCAGCCACCACGGAAGTACCCAGGTACAGCAACCACCACCGTAAGCCCGGTCCACAAAGAGCATCTGAAACAAACCTTCTTTCCTCTAGAACCCAGCAGCGCCACACGATGTTTGCAGGTAAGTGACTAATACTTCAGTGATTATTTATCTGCTTGCTTCACGCAGTGTTGCCAACTCAGATACTCCCCCTTCAACCCCCCGCCTGAAGTCACAATCCCTCACACAGGCCAGACCTATCTCTATGCGGGAAAGGCGGCATCCCAGCATCCCTGCAAAAGCTGGCATTTCCCAACGGAATCGCTTCCTGGGGGTCAGAGGCCTCGTCCACTTCACCCTCCAGAGAGATCCGCCTCAGCTCTCCTCTCCCTCGACAAAGGGCCTCGGTGAGGTCTGCTTAGCCCCGCGTCCTGCCCGGGGCGCAGCCCAAAGCGGAGGCACACAGCAACCACGTACGAGACACGCCCCAGCGCCGTCCCTGCCCCGCCGTCTCTACCGCGAGAAACTTCAGAGCTGGACGGTGTTTTTATCTCTTCGGCTTCGGCAGATTTCTCGGCCACGAACTCGCCCGGTATCCCCCCAGGATGAAGGGGTTTGTGCTCTAGCCATTCCGAGGATGACTGAGCATGGAATGCCCCAGATGCCCTGTCTGTAAGGACTGAATTTGGACCTTTTGATCTTAATGTGTCTCTCTTTTTTTAGTTAGGGTTTATTCTCATGCATTTCCTTTGTTTTCTTCTGTAGCAGAAAAAAAGCAACCCACAAATTTAATAGCCTTTATCAGATTTTCTTCTAATTTCTAGAACTGCATATATTTTTATTTAGGACAGTGAAGAATTAGAATGTAACCAGGAAAAAGCTGAGCAGCCCATATACTGTAATACGTCTTTCTCCTATCAGCGACACAATTGTTTGTAGTGTAAAAGACTGAGATTTAACAAGATGTCTTCTGCGGTAGCACATCCCTTCGAAATCCTTAAGTCCATCTTGAAAATAATGCATGTATAAGCAAATATAAAATTACGTTTACAATCCTCTTCCTTACCAGTTGGAAAGAGCTTGTAAAGCTGCATTCATGTAACAAGTGTTTCCAATATTTTTTAGTCCTGTTAGACCTGAAAAACAGAATTGAGTACTCAGCAAGTCTGTTCATCCAAGACAAGACACACTAAGAAAAATACTTCCCAGAAAACATGTACTAATTACAGTCCTCATGTAACACTTCTGATGCAAACGATAGCGCAGAGCTGTAACCAAAAGAAACACAGGACTCCTAAAGGAACACTAACCTAACTAGAAGAAGTAATTAAGTGTTTTGATTTTGGCTAAAACACTTCAGACGAGTAGATTGAATTTCATCTTACTAACTTTTGATGTTTCATGATTGTGATTTAAAATATGTTTATCAATATTTTAAGTTTTACTTGAACTTGACGATTTACCTGTTCAGTTAAACTGCTGCTATGCCACATCCATAACCACTAATCACATTACCAAAAGCTCCTCAAGGAAGATTTCATTCTTCTGTCTCAAGCTCACGCTGGCAGTCAGATTACACTAAACATTCAAAACCTACTCAGCATGTGATTATCCCGGAATCAGAACTATAATTACCTACAGTCAGTCTTTTTCTATGCCAATTACATACCCTTATTTTTATACACAGACTGCTCAGTTTAGACTTCCCCACGGAACCTACTTTCAAGCCCGGACGGCCTGCTTTCTTTACCAATACCCACGTACAGCCTTTCGGCACACACAAAAGTTACAATTAACATATATTCTTTCAGTGATTGTGGAGCCATGAAAAACACTCTCTAAATACTTGAGGAGAGGCTGTTTAAACAACTCCTAAGGATCATATGACCTCAATTTGAATTTAAATAATCTGAAACACTTGCTCTTTGTACCTACTAAAGTGTTAAATTAATGAAGTAATTAATTTCAAAATAAAATTGCTTATGTATGAGAGAACAGTAACATTTATAAGCAAAGAATCAATAGAAGACTGAAAACGAAAATGTTCAGCAATCAACATCGTTGGCTCTGTGCAATCCTTGAGGTATAGGAACTACTCTGATCATTTTAGTCTGTGGCAGAAAAATCAAACTTACGAAGAAAATCCTTTTACATCTAAAAACCAGTTTATTGGTTTCAATTTGCTAACACACAGAACTTCATTTTCAAGTTGCAAAGGGTTCTTCTGTCTGTCTGAATGGAGACACAGTCCTGCTTCCCACCTCTGAACCTGCATCTGCCCTTCCAATCTCTGCTACAAAACAACAGCCACTCTTACTGCAATTGGAAAGTAAGAACAGTCACGGGATTTTTTAATATTCTATTTTAACAGCAGAAGATGTATCAGGAAGATACTCTCACTGCAGTTTCCAGCCCGCAGTGCTGCAAGCAAAGTTTCGAACAGATGTCTTCTCTTGCAAAGACATATTCTAATGTTTGCTTCATCCAAAGCATTTCAAAAGAAATTTTAAGAACAAAGTTAAATGGAGCTAAAGAATTTTTTTTCCTTTAAATTTGAGAAATGTATTAACAGAGTCACATCAATACTACTGGGAATTTCAATGCAATTCTACTTGTATATTACTTCTATACAAGTTACGTTCCCAAAAAAATATTAATGGGACAAGAGGGCACACAAATACACACACTGGTAGGAGAAACCAGCTGGGAGTAAAACACAAGGTTTAATGATTTAAGGGCAGATGGCAAATTAGTGGGGTGGTGACATCTCCAGAAAGACCGTGCCAGACAACAGAAGGGGTAAAGTAGGTTTTTGGCCAGTGTCAGCAGACTTAGGAGAGGGAATGCTGGTAGTAGACGAGTAAAGGAGAAATGAGATCCCTAACTTAGCATAACACTCTTATTATCTCCGATGGAAAACAAACTGCCTTGACATATGCACTGGCACCTCAACAACCACAGCTTAACAATCTGCTGGTCAGATTTTTTTTGGACAAAACGGTAGTCAGAAATATTCCCTTTACTAACAAATACACGTATCATTTTTTAAATGATCAATACCAATTTGAAACTTGTAAGAAATAATAATCACGTTTTCTCATGAAATAAGAAATAAAGGCTTCACTGCTTGGGGTTTCATTCCACTCTTATTTTCATCTTTACAATAGGTTAATTATAGGATGAGGTAGGTAACCTTTTATACCAGAAAGTTTGGCAGTGCAAGAAATCCATTACTGAAAAAGAGAAAAACCAAACCAAAAGAAAACCCCATACTACAGGCATAGAAAAGGGTTACCTAAAACTCAGGAAAATATTGAAGGCAGGAATCTTTTAGGACAGGAGAGAATATTAGAACAGATTTTACAAAAAGCTGCTGTTACCAGAGCAGCTGGAACACCAGCCACATTACACATGACTCCAACACGCTTTCTTGTTTTTATCACCGCTTGCAGGGGGGCACTACATTTATCACCACAGCCTCTGCTCTGAAGGTAAGAAAGGATTGCTGCAAGAAAGGAGAAACTAAAAGCAAAGATCTCAGGCGGAGCGGAACAGGAAACAATCCCACTTAGAAGAGAACCAGTATATAGCTGGAGAGCAGCCTTGGAGACATAACCCGTGCGATAAAGGGCAACAAAGCACTGGATTTTGCTTTTATTACCTCTAGTCTTTAACTCATCTTCTTCCACTTCTACATCTAAGTCATCAAATACAGCTGCTAACGGAATCTTCAGGGTGGGATTACTAGGTATTTTAAAATCCTTAATAGGAAAAAAAAAGAAAAAATCTATTTACTTGTATTTATCAGTTTTCCTCTTAATTAAGCTTATGTATAATTTCAGCAACAAATCTAGGAACTGAAAATTATGTGAACACATTTTGAAATCTCACTGCACACAAAGTGAGAAGACAGGATTCCACAGCTACTCTGATGAAGTTTACTAAGAAAAACGCCACGTTTTTGTTTTCAGATTAGCAGTGACAACATTGCATGGTTTTACGACAACAGCTGATGAATGAAAACAAAGCAAGTTATAGCATTTTTCCCCTTGGATAACAACCAGTGAGCCAGCACTGAAAAGCTAACGCAGAAGCCGTCACATCAAAGCCAGTGTATACGGTTTGATATGCCACCAGATGGCTCACTTCACAAACTGAACTGTTGGATGCAAAAAGTACAAATAGAGAAACAAAGCGTTAGGCAGGCAGACACCCATTGCAGGACCAGCTCTTTCTGTGAGCACATAAACAAATATTCTAAACAAAACGTCTGACAGACTTCAGAAGTCCTACTGATTTTTCTGTGTATAATACCAGTTTCCTCAGAAGATTAAAACAAAAAAATCTTCTAAAAATAGAGAAAAAAAAATATTAAGTTCAGTCACAAGAAAGGAGAAAAAGTCAGTCTCTCACTTGAGAAAAGACACAATGCTCACTGTAAAGCTACAGCTGCCTTTGTTTCATCGGGTTAAAAAAAAAGTATATATACCTGCACACTATTTTCTTGTGCTTGGTGAGAGAGTCTTGCATTTGGTAGTGGAGAATGAGATCCTAATTTTCTGTCCAGGAATACTTCCTTACTACAGGCATAACACCAAACACGGAGTGTAGTAAGGTTGACAGTTAGACAGTGTTTTGTCTCCTAAAACAGAACAAAAAACAAAACTGAGATTCAGAAATTTGGAATAATTAAATACTGCTACATGCAAGCTTGAACAGAAGTATTAAAACTCAACAACTTTCAACAATGAAACAAGTATGTATGTTATAATATTAGAAAATACATATTCAACTACCAAAATTTTAGCACAAAACTATCCAACACTCATTTTTAGTACAAGTCACTCAAATTAGCAACAAGGTACGACCAGAATCTAAGCCGTTGTCGTATCTGACACACTTCCGCGCAACTTCAGAAATAAGAAGAAAGCCTGTTGTCAGAAGTGTTAAATTCACAACAAACCCATTTTCCAGGAATGGCTGCTGCCGGCCGTAATTTTCTGCCGCCGCGCTACAGCACGGGCGGCGTTTAGCTCTACCGGCGGGCTGCAGGACAGTCAAGGCATTTAACAACGAGGCATCAGAAGAGTAAGATGGGATTTTTAGTTCCATCACAGTAAGAGGTGCTCATATCAAAACAAACATTCTAGACTAAATCAGCTCTTTTGTTGACAGCTTCAGACTGTGAAGCAATACAAAAACGCGACAGATGGAGAGTATTGTTATTGTTCACCTTTCTGTTTTTAACCTCTCGGCTTATGGTAAGATTGTGTACACAGTTGCTATCATCCTCCAAATGTTTCCACCAATCCCTCCTGTATTTCTTCCTCGTATGTTGTCACCAGCCAGGTTTACAGACAATGAGAAATTCGCTAGAAATTAGGAAAATACTGCAAACTGCTGCAGGATGCCCAGTTTCCTCCTCCCCTCATTTAATAAGGCCTTGTACAAGAACAATGTTTTTAATATAAACTGTGGGCTACAATTTCATTCAGTAGCCCTCCCCCTAATAAAAACCATCAGATTACATAAACATCTCCAATGATTTTCATGATGAGAATATGCTTGATTCTGCAGCTTCAGCTGCGTAAATAATTGCAAGTCTCCAGAACAAGAGCTTTTTAATTCTCCTGAAGTGGACACAGGAACATGATTATTTGCAGTACAGCGAGGCTTGCTGGTGGAAACTGGAGCAGGCAGAAACAAACCAATTCATACCAACCTTGTTTCTCTCATTTTAGTGAGTTTATTGAGATTTT